GTCAAGGGGTGGGGGGTGCTTGTTGGGGGGTTGCGGCGCCAGAAATGGCGAGCGCTGGTGCAGCTGACGTGATCCAGGCTGTTTCATCAGCTGTGCGGCAAAAACCCAAGCTGGCAAGGCAAAACAAGGAGGCCGAGCATGGAGGGCGGAGCCACACAGTGACGCAGCGCTGCGCTGCGAGTGGCAGCGAGGGCGCCTCACCGCGGCAGAGGACAAGGCCCCGCGCCCTTCGAGCAGGGAATTACGGCGCCTCTTGCTCCATGACAGGCCCGCATAGCTGTCTCAGGGCCACAGCAAGCCATGCCGATCTTTGCCGCTAGGACTTGCTTGCGGCACACATGCCGATCAGGGCGCGACTTGGAGATGCTAGAGAGCGTACTGCTTGCAACGTTACTCACTAACTCTTTTCGCTGGTCACCTGTGTGCCGGAGGACGCCTGCTCGTGCAGCAGCTCAGGGCAAGGACGACGAGATGGTGGCAGTGAGGCAGGCGAAAATGAAGCGCGTGTGGCAGAGCACGATATTAACAGTGCTCGTTCTGGATTTCGACCGCGTGGGCTGGGTCAAGCGGTGTTCAGATTCACGGGACCATGGCACCCTCACTGACAGCACGCGGGCTAGATCGGCAGTCAGCGGCCACCTTGAAGGCTTTCACAACGCACAAACCCCAACTGCAACCCCTGCGCCACGCAGCGGCACTGCTCGCTGCGGCGGCGGTGGTGGTGTCGCCCCCGGCATGGGCGGATGGTGCGCTGCTCCCTGAGCAACCAGAGGCCACCCCGGCAGACGTGGTGGTGCGTACGGAGGCCCCTGCGCAGGAGCAGCCATACGCTGCGGCATCGCCTGCCGATGCACGTGGCCGGCAGCTCAGGGAGGTGGCGGCAGCTGTGCAGCGGGACTTTGTCGAGGTACGCGTCTGTAGCTGGGCGGATAACGTGAGGGATCCCTAACCCGCGCCGCCTGTTTTGCCTCAACCGTTGGGTACACCTTTATGGTGTGATGCGCCACGTACCAGCTGGGTACATTACTCTTGGCACATTGGGGTTCGCGCCTCGTGAGGCTTTGGTGAAGGTGCACCCACGCCTCCATGCAACGCGCACCCCAGCCCACTCCAGCCACCTCACCCAGACCCCACCCCACACCTCGCAATGCACAACCCACACCACACCACACCACACCACACCACACCACACCATACTGCACCACATCGCACCAGACCACACGACAACACACCATCCAGACTCCACCCCATAAGCCCCAACCCAACCCCATGCACCCTACCCAACTCAAACACCTATCCTTACCCTCAGAACCAGTATTACGTCACCGGGCGGGTGACAGCCTCCCTTTACGAGCCCAACGCCCTATTTGTTGACCCAACCACGCGGGTAGAAGGTACCTGCGAGCGCCGCCGCACGCGCCTCTGGCACCACCCCACCCCACGGCAGGGTCCATCGCCCCCAGCACAGCTTTTGATGTCAAATTGCACCCAGCCGAATGCTGGCCAGCCGGAGGAGAACGGCAAACCTTGCATCGGAGACGCCACATCAGCAGCATATGATGCAGTGCACTGACGCGACCGTCATACGCACGCATGTGCTTGCTCGCTTGCCGCCCCCCGCCCAGGCGTTGAGAAGTATGCTGCAGCGGTGGCGGCGCTGTTTGACCCGGCGTCCTCGCGCGCGGACCTCATATCTATATCGGAGGACCCCTCTGAGGGCGTCATCACGCTGAGGTGGCGCCTGGAGGGGCGGCTGAAGCTGCTGGGGGGTCTGCCCATCAAGCCGTACACAGGCGAGCGCGGCGCCGCGCTGCGCCCATCCTTGCAGCGGCGCATTACCGCCAATTTCAAGCCTGCATGCGTGCATGGAGGGGTCATGGTGGTTTTGGCTGTGCCAGCCTGACGTTTGCTAGCGCGTAACTTGCGTGCGTGCACGCACTGGCGCAGGCACGACGCGGTACGTGGTCGACAGCGCGGGGCTCGTCTCACGCCACGAGGAGACCTGGGACATCTCCGCGGCCGACGCCTTCATCAGCACCTTCCTCCCCAGCTACGGCGCGCCCCCCGCGCCGCCCGTCAAGGCGCAGTGACGGCGTGAGTGGTGGCGCACATGGCGCGGGCGTTGCCGGATTCGGCACTGCCGCCGGCGGCGTTGGCGTTTTGGCTGGCGTGCAGGTGTGAGCCGGACAGCTCCGCTGTTCGGGTGTACAGAAATCACAAAATGAGTCACGACACATTTGACGCACAGGTCAGCTTTCCCTACTGAAACCGCATACTGGCACTGAAATTTGAGCGTCTGGGGGCCGTATGTGTGGGGGGGTGTTGACACCGGCCTGTCCATGCTCACGCATGAGCACCTGAAATGTGTTGTGACTAGCCAGTGCAGCCTCTAACAGTCGGAACACGACAAGTTCAATGCTACGTTTCCTTGTATGTAATAACTGTCGTGATCGATTGGGACGGTGAGAGTCAGGCGATGCCCTTGGTCGATGTGCCGTTGAGCCGATGCAGGCGGCGTGCCAGCCTCGGCAACAGAGATGAGTCATCCATGGCAGCCATATGTGCATGCGCACGCTCAGCGGATGCGGGCTGCCTCAATAGCGTGACTGTGCAACAGCCGCAGGAGTGTTGCCAGTGCTGTGTTCCCCCAGCACTAGCTGCGACGTTGTCAGGAGCCAGGAGACATCAGACCGTGCAAAACACGTTTCGCAGCAAGGAGCGCCTAGCCCCAAGGAGGGGCACGCAGGCACGGCCGGCACGCCTGCATACACGAGATGCGCAGCTGCCCCCAGCGACCGGCGCTGCGCAGCGCCCATCGGTACGCATTGATGTTCTGTCGCGCACCCGCGCGTTGCAGTCCACCCAGACCACGCTTGCTCCTCACCCCCCACCTCGTGACCCCCCACCTCGTGGCAAGAGGAGGAATGGTGTGACTGTACCGGCGCTGTCGTTATTTCCACTGCAAAGTTGGCCGCCATCGGCAGTCACGACGCAAGCGGGTTGTGTCTCTGCTCACAGTTCCCTGGCGATGCTGGGGCTCGCGGGCGGCGGGGGCAAGCGCCCGCGGGCACCCCTCAGGTTGCCAGGTGGTCCAGAGGCGGCGCAACTGCAGACGCAAACTGCAGCGGCAGTTTTCACTCGCATGGAAGCCACAACGGACAGGAGCACACTTGGACCGGGTTCAGGCATGGCAGTTACAGACAGGGGTTTGTACATGTGACAGCGGATGTATACCTCATCACGAAGCAATACAAAGACGACGATGAAACAAATTGCAATGCAGGAAACAAGAAGATGCAGATCTGCAGGTGCGGCTGGCGCCCGCCCGCTGCAAATTCAGCCCTTATCGCGCCGCGAGCGCTTGTGTGAGTGCCTGCTGCCGCCGCCTCCGCGGTCCCGCTCCCTTTCCTTCTCCTTGCCTTTCCGGTCCCGCCCCTGCTCCTCACCCCTGCTGCCCCCGCCGCCGCCGGCCTGGCCCAGCAGGCCGCCGAGTGCTACGCCCAGTATGCTGCGCTTCTTGCCGCTGCTCGCCTTGCGCTCCAGCCGGCGCGCCTCCCGTGCCGCCTCCTTCTCCCGCTGCCGCGCCTCCTTGGCCGCCGCGTCTTCGGCGCCGGCGTCGCCGTCGCGCGCGGCCGCTGTGGCCGTCGCGGCGGGCTGCTGCTCGTCCCCCTCGCGGCCGCCGCGCCGCTCCTCCCTCCGCTCCCTGCTGCCGCGCCGCCGCTCCCTGTCCCTGTCCTTGTCCGACTTGTGGCGCTTGTGGCGGCGCTCGCGGCTGGAGCCGCGCTCGCCACGTCGCTTGGCGCTGAGCGGCTGGTCCGCCTCCGGCCGCTGGGGGGAGCCGCCGCCGTCGCTGGCTGCCCCTCCGTTGGCCTCGCCCCCAGTGCCGCCGCCGCCGCTACCACCTTCGCCGTCTGAAGCCTTGAAATCAACCAACGGCTCCCCATACCCCTCCTCCTCGCGCCGGCTCGCCGCCCGCTCGACTTCCGCGGGCCCCGCCTGCGCCGCGCCCCCGCTGCTCCCGGGCGCGCCCCCTTTGCTGCCTGCCGGGCTGCCGCCGCCGCTGCTGCCTGGACGTGGCGGAGACCGGGACAAGGAGCGCGAGGGACCATCGCGAGCGGCCGCGCCGGCTTCTGTGTGGGGGTCAGCGCTCTGCGACCGTTCGCGGACGGGGCTGCGGCTGCGGCTGCGGCTGCCGCCGCGCGCGGGGCTGCTGCTGCGAGCGGTGCCACGCGGCGGCGACCCCCGGCTGCGGGCAGGGGAGGGGCTGCGAGCCGCGGGCTGAGAGCGGGCGCCGAGGATCGGGGCGGTGCGCTGCATGGGGCGGGCCCCCGGCGACGCGTCGAGCCTGGGGGTTGCGTTGTAAGGGGGGAGGGCGTGCAGTCTGGTGCGCACGTGAGCCGGGCGGTGGTGTGAGAGCACGCATTTATTGGGCCTAGCCCTTATATCCCAGCAGGGTGAATCCGCCTCCTTATCAAGTCATCGAAGCTGCGGGACGCACGGGCCTGCGCCGCAGCAGCAATCAGCCGAGGCAGTCAAACAGAAGTCAAACAGCACCCAGGCAGGCGCTGCCGCGGTCGCTGCTTGGTGCTGGCGGGTTGAGAGGGGAGCTGGGTTTTGGGTGCCCGGCATTTACAGCGAGCACACCAAAAATGGATTGGTGCCGCAACGAGTTGCCGGCAAATCGGGGGCTCAGGCCGTGGCCAAAGAGGACTCCCATCAAAAGAGATGGGGCAGCCTCTTGCCAGCCTCGGTTGCCAGCCTCGGTCTCAACAGCCCATCGGCTGGCTGCACGCGACCGGCCACAAACACCACCGGGTGCTGGCTGGGGAGGCATCAGCAGCGATGGCTGGGGAGGCATCAGCAGCAGAGACCTCCCCCTCAAAAAGACGCCAGGCAGCACTTCAGAAGCAGCTTGGCAGGTGCGGCCTGGGCCGTACGGGGCGCGAAGGCTACGCAAGGGATGCGGGGCGGCGCAAGCAGGCCCGGCGCGAGCACGGGCGGCGCGGCGGCGCGGCGCGGCGCACCTGGGGCTGGCTTTGGGCCTGCTGGCTGTTTGACTTACCAGGATTCCCTGACAAGAACGCAGCTGCCGCACGCACGGCGTCGAGCATCGGGCTCCACACCTGGACACCCCTCCCAACCCTACCCCTTCCCCCAAATTACATGAGTTGTGTGCGCAGATTGTGTGCTTCGCGCCACAGACTCTAACAGCATCAGAGATTGCGACAGCTGCCAACGGCCAGCCGCTCCGCCAACAAAGCCTCCAACACCGCCAACTGCAACCAATACTGCACCTGTCGTCACGCGGAGCAGCCCCGCC